ATATATATATACATATATACATATATACACACACACACACACACATATATATGTGTAACACATACATATATACTCCGCCAGTGTCTTATGTGTTTCTATGGCCACTACACTTCTTAGTCAATAAACATATGTCCAGTGATGCTGTTTTTATTCATAAATGTCATCAATAACTAGCTAATCAATGATTGTGTGAGAGACCCCTAAAGGCATATGTAGGAAATATTTTGAAAGTGTAAGGACTACTTGCAAACCCACCTTCCTTGCTTTCCATAGCAATATTTAGCATCTGCCTCAATTAACGCAGTCTCTCCAAGTTCCATGAGCTGCACACACAGGTCCATGCTCTAAAAAGAAAAGACAAATACAAGGTTGTTTTTTTTTTTTAGAGGTTAGCAATAGGATAAGAATGCAACCTGGACAAATAAAAATGTTTATGAGCATGATAAAGATCAGGCCAATAAAGAAGCTAGTCCTTTTACACCAAACATGTTACACTAGTACACTACTTACCCCTATAAAAGCAGCTTATGTTGTCAGTAATAGTCTTTGAGCCTACTGCACCCGATTTAAAGAATAAAAGTTCACTAAAAGGAGAACTCAAGATTATTTTTTTTAAACTGAACCCATGCATTGCGGCTACCTAGAGTACTTCATAAAAAATTAAAAAAACACCTATGCATCAAAAGGTGCATGCATCAATAGGAAGTAATACAATAAGTCACCCTTTGTGCCATGTATGTATGTAGATATAAATGCAGATGGAAGCTGCCACCGTCTAGTTATTTTTGAAGGCACAAGGACCTGGGCTGTCAGTCTCAACATCATTTGCAGACTGTATAACCTTTACACAAACTAAATAATATACATGTGTTGGTATTTTTTTTTTAACATAGAACTGTCGTAGGATACAGTTTGGCCCAAATTTATGAAGAAAGATTATTTGATATGTTTTATATTTTTCCTTTATATAGTAAAACATAAAAACCTGAGTGGTTACTAAATACTACCAAAAAAAAAGCTGTCTAAAAAATTATATAAAAGTCATTAGGGGCAGTGTTTCATGATGGAGTAACTGTAAATCAAAGTATCTGAAAACTGAAAACCCTGAAAACTGAAAAATTACCTGGACAGGAAGGGGGTGTAGCATGACGGTCATTAAGTGGTTAACATACATCATACATCCCAAAATGACCAACAATATGTACATGCTCACCTGCATGACATCACCATCTCCCAGAGTAAAAGCATAGTTGACATGTTCCTCGACGACACTGCCATTCTTCAGACTAGTCGTCAGCTTCACTGTGACATCTTGCCCTTTCTTTGGTCTGCTCTCCACTCCCTGACCCTTGATTAGAACTTTCTTTCTCAGGGCCCCATTACCTGTAGGTATAATTTTATGAAGTGAAATCTGATGATCATGCTGAATGTTATTCAGTGTAGTGTTAATTCATACACATATGTACCCAAAAAAACACATTTTAGTACAGTCTACTGAATAATGTACCAAACTAATTTTATAAGATTTCACATTATAATACAAAAATAAAAGTCAGCAAAGGTAATGAAAACAATAAAGTTAATACCACAGCTATTCATATAGCTTTACAGAACATTTGGGGAATTACTGATGTATTATCCAAATATATACTGAATATTGGGGATACTAGTAATTAGGGATGCACCGATATATCGGCCGCCGAAACTTATCGGCCGAAAATGGCACTTTTGGCATTATGCCGAAAGTGCAATTTTCTGGCCGATACAGCAGCGCTTCCCTGCTTTCTCTCCTCCCTGCTGGGCGCTGCTCTGTGTCCCAGTCACAGGCGACCGAGCGCTGCGGGAGGAGAGTGCTGTGAGCTGCCGGCGTCCACCACTCAGCCTCCTGTCACAGATCAGAGGAGAGCGGTGTGTTGGCGGAGGCAGCTGTCATTGCTGTCACGGCAGGCTGAGCTCCGCTCGCTCAGCCTCCTGTGACTCAACGATCAGTGATTGCTGAGTGATTGTAAATAATTGAGGACAAAGTATGTTTACTATATCCTCAATTATGAATGAATGGGAAGTGATCTACATCACCTCCTGCTCATTCATGATTCTGGTTATAGTAAACCTACTACCTCCAAGTTATGAATGAACAGGAACACTCAGTATAGAGGATTCCTGTTCATTTATAAGAGGGGCTGCAGAAAAAGAGACTGGGGACTCCGTGTCCTCAATCTCTTTTTCTATTTTAAATAAAAAAAGTTTTTTTTTTAACTTTAAAAGTAAAGTAAAAAAACAAAAACATTTAATAAAAATGAATAAAAATAAAAAGTTTATAAAAAATAAAATATTTAAACATTTTTTTAAAAGTTAAAATAAAAAAACATTTTCGGTTTCGGCCTGACATTTTTTTTATTTGGATTTTGACATTTTCATTTCGGCACACGTCTACTAGTAATGCAAGTGCTGTCATGAAAAAAACGCCCTCCTCCAAAAACATGTAACCTATTACAGGAAAACTAGAATGAACCTCTGCATGCAAGAAAAATGGCCACAAAACCTAAACGCAAATTCAGACAACCAACAATCCTTTCTCAGAAGAACATAAAAGGCCATGATTTACCCCATGTGTAAAGGATGGTTATCACCCCTGTCTTTTTGCCATCTGTGTCCCATCCTGAAAAAATAGGATTTTTGTACTCACCGTAAAATCCTTTTCTCTCCGTTCATTTAGGGACACAGGGAACAGATCTAGGATCATGTACTGTAGGGACGTCACAAAGCAACAGTAAGTGACAGGAAAACTCTCCCCTTTGTCACGGGAAGATGGTAAGAAGCATCCCCAATAAAAGATTTCCCTTCTTTTCCAGTTCTGACGACAACTCATATTTTTGAATTTTGCCTAACTGTGGCAGTGGTTCTCAGGACAAATAGAGAGGGAATCTCCATAAGTTGGTACACAGAGAGCAATAAAACCCAACAGGAGGTTCTTATCCTTAGTTAAAAAACTACAAATATGCTATAAGTATTATATCCTATAAGTATTAATTAGTAGTAGTTAGTAGTATATCCTATAAGTATTAAGTAATCTGGATATGATTATTTGTAGTAAAAATAAGTGCTTCGCTTTTTTTTAAAATTATTATTATAATTTTAATGATATAGATCATCACATACCCAGCAGCTTATCTCTCTCACAAGACCTGGAAGTGATGTGTAGTACATCACTTCCAATTTCAGCCTGTTGTCTTTCTGGCTGCTGTAGCCAGAGAGGAAGCTGATTAAGCAAATCTCTGCTTCATCAGCTACTTTGGGATCCCTAAGTGACCCCTGATGTCTCCATAATGAAGACCTGCCACTGTATCTGTACTATCTCATGGGAAGGGGGGTTAGCCCCCAATGTGACAGCAATAAAGTGTTACAAAAAGTTTAAAAATTAAAGTCACATGTTAAAAAAAAACAAAAACACAAAGAAATGTATTTTTAAAGCTCCCACGTACATGCACATACAAAGGCAAAACACATGTCAGGTGGGCCTACGTGCGAAAATGGCGATTACACCACACTTTATATATCACCTCAATCGTCAAAGTGCAAGCAATGACTCTAGAGCCATCAATCACAGTTAACACTAAACTGATGAGCGGTAAAAGCTTTTAGAGCCAATTTTGGGTAGGCGATTTTGAGGGCGCACGCAATTTTAGGCTTGACAGGTTTGATAACTATTTAGCTGACGTGACCCTGTCTTTTATATTTGGCCAAAAGATTGGGTAATAATACATGTTTTATAACACAATGTAGGGGAAACAGTTTTTGAAAAACATTAGTACTTTTTCTTTCTATAGTAAAACATAAAACCACAGTGGTGATTAAATACCACCAAAGGAAAGCTCCATCTGTCCCCTAAAATGATATAAAATTAATTTGGGTGCAGCACTGCATGACTGAATAAATGTCAGTCAAAGTGCCTCAGTGCTGAATACTGAAAAACTGCCTGGACAGGAAGGGGGTTTAACACCCCGGGCTTCAAGTGGTTATAGACATTGAAAAAAAAAAAAAAAATCAAAAAAAAGGAGGTGGAAGGCATTAAGAGTGTTTTTGACTTGCAAGGTTGCTTTAACTGACATTGCATGCAGATCAAAGGCCACTCCTTTAATCTGCTATGAATGAACCAGAGTATTTTCTATACAGCAAAATAGCATTGCTTCACTGTAGACTCTGTTCTCCTGGTCATTTACACAGAAGTAGAAAGAACTGCTTCTGTGGTGCTACACAAGTCCTGGTTGTCAAAATGAAAGCTGGCCTTTGCAGGTAAATGCAGCCAGGGAGATGCGGGGGAGGAGGAGGTGTAGGGCATACCATACATGCCCAAAGTATTTAGATTAAGTATTTTGGGGCGTGTAGGATGCCCAAAGCCCAGGGCTGAGAGACCCCATCACTAGACCATTAATTTATTTCACAAAAAGGTTAATTTAGATAAGAAAATGTTATAACAAACCACAGAAAACAGAATTGTGCAATGGAAAACAGGTACAGCACAAAGATGTATGGTTTAGGTTTGTAGCAAAGTAACATCATAAAGAAGCGTAGGGATAACATCATAAATATCCATATAGAAAAACTAAAAGTGGGAAGGAGCTAAGAACAGCAAGAATATATGTGCCGCCCCAACAGGGGCATAGAATATGAGATGCATAGCCTCAGTTAATATTAGCATTGTTATATAGGTTAGAATTTATATAGTGTGATTTGCCTAACTATTTTCTCATAGCTAAATCCATGTGTTATCCTATGCTGCCATCTAGTGGCCTTTTGTTGTAACAAACATGCTTTCTGTAATTATTCCTCATGTGACGATGTATTTCCCCCTAGTGTAGGCCCCTTCCTTCTTCCTGTGTGCAGTACTTCCTGTGTCATGGCACAGTTGAAAGCCACATGTAACAAGGACACACATGTAATCTGCACAGTACGTAGGAAAGGCATCATTTTCTGACCGCACAATACTATAACCGTTCAACTGCTGTTCCTATCATCTGCTGTAACCTGATGTAAAGAATAAACACCTCTTTTGAATGAATCGGTATTGACGAGTTCAGCTATCTGACGAGGATTGTCCGCAGTGAGTATATCTGCTTATACAGGCCAGGCATAGAGGTCTCAGCAAGGGATATATTTCGCTATCACAACGATCGGAGTCAGAATAATATAATCACTGCTCAACAAAGAGGGATCCAGGTGTGGGTACAGCTCATGTTAAAGTCCAAAATTAGGGGATGAAGGCCAAGACTGCACAGAAAAATCTATGAGGCAGAGATTCAAAAAGTAACCGCAGGTGAGTAGGTAAAGGTGCAAGGAGAAAAAGGGAGAGAGAGGCCAAAGTACAGAGGGAAAGAAAGAAAAGAAAAAGGTAAAAGCAAAGAAGGAGAAAGGTTTCCTGGGGGGGAAGAGTAGTCGAAAGGAGCAAATGGAAAGCAAGGATACATCAATATCTGGAGGATGCAAATATGAAATCCATTTTTGTTAGCTTTCCTCTTCATATCCTATATGAATACATATGGAAATGGCTGCCTGCTCTGTGTAAATTACAACTGAGTTCTCTGTGAGCTCCCCAGCCCCCATTTATTATGAATCAACCAAACAAGGTTGCAATGCTTGCTACCGCCCCTTTTGTCTTGCGATGGTCGTAAGCCAATTAACAGCTTGTACGATCTGCCCATCTTGGACAGGCAGATCGTACTTGCGATCATCAAAAGCCCACCCCGCTGAGGGGCGGGCGTCCGATGACCGCAATGCTGAACGTTCAGCAGTTGTCGAACAAGCAGGCTAGAAACCCGCTGACAATCGTACGATTCTCGGCGGGTTTTCTAGCATGCTGGTTCGACAAAAGACGTGCGACAGTACAGTAAAAACGGTCGCACGCCTTCCATACACCTTGCGATTATCGTACGATTGCGGGATTTCCCGCGATTATCGTATGATAAATCGCAAGGTGTATGGACACCTTTAGAAGAATCAAGCTGGGCGCAGGGCTGTTGGTGGCTGTTTGCTGGGTTTTTGGAAGCAGATATCTCAGGTGTGCAGTCACTATGTTTATTTTGCTTCAGGTTATAATTCTCCTTCAATTACCAGTACATTTTGGTGTAAACAGTAATTACTGACCTGTACAAGGTAAATTAAAGATTGTAAAATGTAACATTTAAAAATAAGAAATACTGGCAAGGGAAAAAATATTGAATGCGGGGAAAATATACCGCATGTTCTTTTGGAAGCGCATTAGATTACACACTGCATTAACTAGGATGTTTTTCACTCACAGTTATGCCTATCCTTAGTTTCTGAGAAATTCTTATGATATCCCGTTTCTAGCTTTGCTCAGAGTAATCAATTTTAAATTGTAGTGT